TGTTTAATAATCAAGATTTACTTCCAAACCGTTGTGCGTGGCATGGAACCTCATGGGCAAATAAAGGATTGTACAATATTCCTTTTATTTGCTGCCGTTACCAATCGGTCGGGAAATGCAGTCCGCTGCATTATCTACAACTTTTAGCAAGTTTTTTTTTAGATAAATTCTAGTAATATATGGGAGGCAGTTGCACTACAATAAACTGAAGAAATCGACGAGATGTACACATGACGCTGTCCACAGTTGGGACGAAACGGTTTATTTCCGTATTTGACCATCAGATTAGGTTTTAATTTTAACATGTAACCTGCTAATCAGTATATAATGCATCGGTAAATCAGTTGTACTATGAAATTAATGCTCTTATTCGTTTATGATTTTCATTTTGTGCGTTTTCTATGGTGACGAACCACATTTTTGTCCTGTATATGATTTTAATGTAAGGCGACTGATAAAAGCTGCCATTCGATTCGGCAGGATTTTTCGTTGACATAATGCGGAAGATTTTCGGCTGCAAACAGTCTTCGACTTCCAGTCCTTCGGAGAAAGAAGTCAAAGGTCAGGTGATCAACGTCTGTGGAGTGCTGGTGACAGTCGAGAGCAAGATCGCAGAAGGTAGGCAGCTGCAAGTGTAGAAACGAGACATGAAACCGCTGTTGCTTGTGTACAGGTGGCTTCTCGGTAGTGTACACTGTCCGGCAGAACGGAAACGGCTCGTTGCTGGCTTTGAAACGACAGTTCGTCAACGACACCCGTCTTCTGGAGGCGTGCCGCAGAGAGGCTGAGATCATCCGCACCTTAGGTCGACACCCGAATATCGTCTCGTACGTGGCCAGCAGCATCAACCCGGTGATCGGTGGCGAGGGGGTCCACGAGTACTTGCTGCTGACCCGCTTCTACGCCGGCAGCGTTCTTCAGCTGATGAATGACCGTCTGGCCGAGAACAGATACCTCACGTACACGTACGTAGTTTTCCATAAAATTGCCTTCAAAGTGTTATTAAATGTTTCTTAAAATTAATAAGGAAATTAATTTCTTGAACGTATAGTTATAAGTATGATAGTTTCACATGAAGATAATCTTTTTTTAAAATAATTCTGACGGTAGATGGTTTTTGTAGGCAACAGTTTTATTGA